TACTGAAGCATAGATTGTTTGCCCTACCCTTTTTATGTTGACAAAAACTTTCATGAGGAAACTTCATTATTTGAAGATGCCTCAATGGTTGCCAAAACAAACAACAATTGCAACAAAAGCAGCCAACAGTTTCTGATTGTTTATTCTCCACCAAGCCTTGTAGTGTATTATATATGTTCCATGTATTATCTCATCGAATTCTCACAATAACTCTGAAAGGTAGGTTTGTTTTTGTTTATTTGTTTTCAATTTCTATTTCCAGATGAGACATCAGAATTCAGAGAGTTTAGCCCTGGCTGGTATGGCTCCATTGGTTGGGCATCATCCCATGCACCGAAAGATTGCCCGTTGTTTCCCTGTCAGGGCACATGCCTACGTTGTGGGCTCCATCCCCAGTAGGGGGCATGCAGAAGGCAGCCAATTGATGTTTCACTTTCACATCGATGCATCCCTGTCCCTCTCCCTTCCTCTCTCTCTTTAAAAAGAAAGAAAGAAAGAAAGAAAGAAAGAAAGAAAGAAAGAAAGAAAGAAAGAAAGAAAGAAAGAAAGAAAGAAAGAAAGAAAGAAAGAAAGACAAAGAAAAAAATCTATCAAAATGCTTTTAATCACCTCAGAGTTTAAATAGCTTGCTTAAGGTTAGTCGGCCAGAAAGTGGGGGCCCAGACGTGCAGGGCAGTCAGGGTGGAGCTAAGCTTCTAGGCCACACCTTCCCCTGGTGCCTTTTCCCTCAGTAACTGGAATAGCCTTCTTTTTATCAGTTCTATATGCTGCGATTTTCTTTGAAACCAGAGTTTTATGGCTAAAAAACTTAAAAGCTTTGGCCTCCAGAACAAATTTGACTCCGATTGCACCATTTGAAGTCTCATGCCCTCCTGCCATTATATTTCTCCCTGTGCTTCTGCCTGAAATGCCCTCTCCTTTCTTCTGCAGCTGACAAATTACTCTGAATCTCCTGGGCATTTCCCAAATCTCCAGACAATATGCATGCTCCCTCCACAGAAGGTCCGTCCCTCTGACCCAGCAGCAGTCATCCTCTTTCTCAGTAGTGGTTGACAGTTGTCCCCACCACTGCACTGAGCCTCCGAGAAGGTGGCCCGGGCCTGCCTCTGCTCAGGAACTCCTTGGCCTGGCCCAGGTCTGGCACGGAACACAGGGGGCTCTGCCGGTGCTTGAACCAGCGCATGCCAGGGCAGAGAGGCTGCTCGGTGAACTGGCTGAGTTCAGGAGCCTGGAATACAAACCAGGGTGTACTCAGAATCCACGAATGTGAGATGCAGACGATCGGATGTATTAATCACTGGTTTGGAAAGGCATTAACATATTTCCATAATATGGTATGTTTCTTTTCTAAAACAGATGTGCCCTCGTTTCATGAGAAAGTAATTAAGTGTGTTTGATTAAAACATTCATAAATGCTATCATTTACTCAAGGCTACTATATGCTGCTTTCTTTAGTGGTGCTTTATACATGTGATTGCTCTCCCAGTCACCTTAAGATATTAAGGTGTTTTTAATATTTCCAATAAGGAAACTGAGGCACAGAGAGAAGTGAGTCGCTGGCCCAAGCATAGTCAGCTTCTGGGTGATAGATAATAGGAATGAAACAGATCGGTCTGACTTCAGAGCCACTGCCTTTCCATCACCCTCACTGCCTCTGAACTTGTATTTTAGATACCTTCCAGCTCAACACCCCAAGCTCAGCCCTGCCCATGGGGTGCCCCCTCTTCTTCCTTCCCTTTTCCCCCTCCTCACTGAGCTCTCTTCTCCATTTCCTTATATTATTTGCATCCTAAAACTGAAATATTTTTTCCAGTGTCAATAATTGGATACTATTGTGTGGAAACTGGTGTTAACAGTGTGGTAATGTCACATTTATATTAATATAAAAAAAAAGGCACTTGGTAAGGCTAAATTACATATATTGTAATTTTTGTTTTCTTTATATTGCCTTTTGCTCTTAAGACTTTTTGAGCCCCAATTTATATATTTTTTAATGTATGGTATTTTCCCCTTCATGTAAAATAAATAAAACAATATAGTGAAGAGGAAGTTGATTAAATAAATGTTTTTATTAAAGATTTTCTAAGCAGTAGGATACCTATTTCAAATTGTATATGAAATATACGATTGAAATGCTTCTTGTTAGGGAAGTTTGAGAGGTTTCTTACAGACTTAGATTCATTTATTTTCTGCCCTCCTAGTATTTCAGCAGGATTAAGTTTTTTGAATCAGTGGATCAAGTTTTAATTTTCCTGTTCCTTCCTTATACCGACATATGCTTTGGCAGAACAAAAAAGAGACCTAAACATGTCATCATGATTTTCGTTCAATGAATTAAAAACCATAAAAGTAACAAGATCTGATCCAAATCCCTAAACTCCTGACATGATGGTTTTGTCCTTTTCAGTCCCAAGCTTCATATTACTGGCTTTGAAAAGCTTTCTGCCTGGGAGCAGAGTCATGGCAGCAGTGCCGAATTTATGTGAAATAGAGTACAAGGAGGGCAGCATGGAGCAGTGGGAAGAATAAGGGCCAGAAAGACCTGGGTTTGAATCCCAGCTCTGCCACTGACCTCTGCACCTCAGTTTCCTCCGGACAGGATGAGGGTATGAGAATCTAGTTCTAAGAGCTGTTGTGAGGATTGGTAAGGTAATATACTTAAAGTACTCATCTGTCCTAGAGGGGCTTAATGTAGTAATCAGAATCATTTTTATTTTGAGACTACCTTTAATTAGCTGAATCCAGAAGTATTTCTTTATAACACAGCTGTCTACTTTGTAGTGTATCTTTCTAAAAAATTTTCGGTTTTCTTCTCATTCCATCAGGGAAAAAATACCAGGTGGATACCACTAAGTCTTTACCACATGCTTGCCACTGTTTCCCACGGAGCATGTATCCAGAACTTGTGATTGTCCTTACTGAGCAAGAACTGCATTGATTTGAGGGTCAGGAACCATATGCCACGGATGTCCACTTCGGGACCCAGAGGGCAGAGGAATTTTGTCATACTAAGACCATTGACTTCTCAGACAGGATAGACTGGGTTTGGTTTTGTGTAAGATATTTAACATTCCTTTGGGTCTCATTTTTTAATCTGTAAAATGGAGTTCATGATCTTACAAGGCCAGGCCCTCCTTGATAGGAATTTCTGGTCTCTCTTCTTGTCGCTCTCCTTTGTTATCTGCACTCCAGTCAATTCCTCAAATGAAACTTGGTCTCTGTAGCTTGGAGCCTTCCTACCTGCTCTTTCTTCCTCCTGGAAGTCTCCCTTTGCCATGCTAGTGCTGGTAACTTGTTCTCGTCCTTCAGATCCTAGTGTGGTATATTAGTCAGAATAGGATGAGCTGTGCTGTAGTAACAAGCAACCCCTAGATCTCCATGGCTTACACAACAGAAATGTATGCTCATGCTGTATGATGGGCACTCTTCATCACAGTCACCCTGGGAACTAAACTGATGGATAGTCATATGCCACGTGTATTGTGGCCAGCAGAAGCTAATGTGGTGGAACACACCCTGGGTCTTAAAGCTTCTGCCCTGTGGTGATGCCCATAATCTCTCTCACATTTCATTGGCCAAACCAAGTTGTACAGCTACTCTGAGTGGCTGGGGAAACGCAAGGAGTAGGAACCAGAATGCTAGTGAAAAGACATTACGACCACCGAATTAATATACTATTTCTCTAGGAAGGTCTTCCCTTAACAAGGACAGAAGCTTTTAAGTTAGTTTCTTTTGGGCTGTAACACCTGATGCTTTCCCATGTCCCTGTCCACAGCACTTCCCACACCATGTTAATTTCTCACTATTGACCTCTCTCCCCAGCTAAGCTCCTTATGTTCATCATTTTGTCCTCAGTGCCCAGCACTGGTTTTGATAGGTATTGGGCCCTTGATCTGTACATGACAAAGACATGAAGGCAGGACAAACATGACGGCTTACTCTGCTACTGGGATGTTGCGATGATTAATATAACAGGATTAATAATAATTGCCTCATACAGTTGTTGTAAGGATCACCATATAAAGTGCCTGTCCTGGTGGTTTATAGCAGGCCCTCCATGTGCTCCTTGTTGTTGTTATGATGAGATGTTGGCAGTAAAAATAACTAACATTCATTAGCATTTCTAACACGCCAGACGCTCTCCTGAGTCCTTATGGAAGCTGACTGGTGCGTTGCTTCTCTTATGTTACGTTGGGACTCTCGTTTCTCGATCAGTTTGAGGTGACTCACAAGTCATTCGCTATACTAGTCAAGATTCTGAAGATTGCTACTTATTTGTTCTGGGTGAATTAGAGATTTAGAGATGATGCTATTTCTGTAGTATCATTACTCATTTGCATCGCTTTCTTTAAAAAAAAATATTTTATTTATTTATTTTTAACAGAGAGGAAGAGAGAGGGATAGAGAGTTAGAAACATCAATGAGAGAGAAACATCCATCAGCTGACTCCTGCACACCTCCCTTTGGGGATGTGCCCGCAACCAAGGTACATGCCCCTGACCGGAATTGAACCTGGGACTCCTCAGTTTGCAGGCCGATGTTCTATCCACTGAGCCAAACCAGTTAGGGCGCATCGCTTTCTTTAGTGGGAGAGAAGGGGATGGAGTTATCGCTAACTGTTGCTTCCTTTTATTGAGCAGTTAAAATGTGCCCAGGTCAGGAGCCAACACTGTACAGGCATCATCTCGTGATCTTCACCTCACTGCCTAAAACAGGCACTGACAAGTCCCCGTATAAAGACAGGAACGCTGAGGAGAATAAGTCCTATACCTCTTGTAAGTGGCATGGCTAGGATTTGCCCCTCAGATTTCTAGACTCCTTGGCTCATGCTTTTAAGCAGAACTCTTACTGGCTCTTCTCAGCGAACTCACCAGGACCTTTATCTGACCCTGAGCATCCCCATGAGCCTGCCAGGCTGTGAAGCTCATCCTCCATCAGAGTGAGGTTACAAACTGTTGAGCTAACAGACAGTGTGATGTTACATTTTTCTCTTTTATCAGAGTAACCAGGGAGCACAGGGAAATGCTGGCGAAACTTGCCAAACAGAACACCAACAAGGCCAAAGACTCTTTACGGAAGGTTCGTACCAACGCAATGAATAAGCTGAAGAAATCAAAGGACAAGACCTCGGAGGACACCATTCGACTCATAGAAAAGCAGGTACTGTTCCCAGCAGATGTTAACGCCTCTGTATGTGATCCAGGCATTCACTTGTTCATGTCTAACGTGAGGAAAATGAAAATAAAATGCAGCCCCCTGGTCCTTCATTGATGTGATTTTCGTTGACTGGGTCTCTGTCCTAGGCCTCGCCCTGTGCTGGGCCCTGGGAATAGGGAGGAGGAGATCTGCTGATCTTTCACTGCGTGCCAGGCTGCCAAACACTTTCCATCACTTCATTTATCCTTGTCACTACAAAGCTGTGAGGGGTAGGCAGCAAGGAAACAGGTCCAAGGAAGCTGAATGAATGGCTTGCCCAAAGTCATACTGCTGGTAAAAGATAGAAATGGAATCCAAAGACAGGTAGACTGACTACAGAGCCTATATACATTGTTGCTCTCTTGTCCCAGTTTGGTGGTCTGGGTGCTGAGAAGTGAGAACTTAACAGTGTTCTTGGTGTGCCTAGTGATGGCACTTACACCTGTCACTGGAAAAAAAGGGGAACATATATAATACTTTCAGTCATAAAAGTAAAAATAAAAAATAAAAAGAAAGAAATCTGCCCTGGCTGGTTTGGGTCAGTGGATAGAGCATCAGCCTGCGGACTAAAGGGGCCCAGGTTCCATTCTGGTCTAAGGGCACACGCCTAGGTTGCTGGCTCAGTACCTAGTAGGCGTACAGGGGGCAGCCAATCAATGATTCTCATCATTGAAGTTTCAATCTCTCTGTCCCGCTCCCTTCCTCTATGAAATCAATAAAAATATATTAAAGAAAGAAATCAAACCAGGACATGGCAGTGGCCTGACCTGTGTGGTACAAGTGGAATTAAGATAGGAAGATGAACTTACCAGTATTTAGGAGATAGAATTTATAATGTTGAGTGTACTATAAAGTGCTCACCCAAAGCCACCTTGACCACAATAAAAGCATTAGTTAGTAAACTTTTGAGCAGGATTCGGACCAAGAGGGAAGGGGTGGAAGGCAGGACACCTGGAGGAGGCCATACATGGACTCCCTGCTCCCCTTCTCCTGGGCCAGCTAGTCACAGGCCAGGCCAGACGGTCACCCAGGGGAGAATTTTAGGTGAATTTTTGGGCCCTGCTCCTTGAATTTTCTAATTCAGCAGGTCTGCCCAGGAATGTGTATTTTTAAAAAGTTCCCTAGGTGATTCTGCAAAAGCAGACAAGGTGTGGCAGGGCACCTGAGTTTAAAAGGGATTGTTCTGCAGTTGGTGTCCTGTGGCCTTGGGGAAATAACATGGCTCCTCCGTGGTTTTCTTCTGTAACAAGGGATTTGTAATTCTTGTCCTGAGGGTGGCCCTGGGCCTGCTAGAAGCACCATTACCTGACACGCAGACCCTCAAACTCCCTGCTCGCCATCCCTGGACTCCCCTCTCTCCCTGCATCAGCTGACAGTTCAGAGGCTAGCTGCCTCCCTGAGCCCTGATCAGTCCTGGGAGAGCCAGGCCTGGCCCCACAGAGCCAGCTCCTTGTTCATCTCCCCGGGTTTTCATCTCTACAGCTGACACTTGGCCCCGTGGTTGCTTCCTGGTGATAAGTCTTCACTCAGCAAATCTGGCCTCTGCCTCAGGACCAGAGCCCGTGCTCCTTGCAAAAGAGAATGATGGATAACCAGCTCTCCTGATGAAACCCGTTTGACAAAGACCTTGCTGGAAGCCTTCAGTCCTTGGCACGTGGCTTCTCACCTTCCTCTTCAGATTAGATATTTTATTCAGTGCTTGTTACTGTACATTGTTTTTCAAAGTGCAAGTAACTTTATTCATTTTTTCTGATACTAAACCAATCCATGTTTTGTATAAAATTTTTTAAAATTAAGAAGTGAAATTTCATCACCAAGAGATGACCATTATTAACATTAAAATTATCGCTGTAAGCATTTATGTAATATTACATGAAAAAAGATCCTACTATATATTTATTTCACAATTTTTATTTCTAATATATTATCAATTAAATATTAGTTCTTGCCATTATTGATAAAAACTTATTTAAAGTCAATAAGAAAATAGGAGACAATTTTGTACATACTTCATTTTGTTTTTTTCCTAACAGAAGGCACCAATCTTCAGTTTTTCGTGTGTGCTATTATTTAAGTTAAACAGGCGGGGACTGATAGTTGCTTTATCAGGTAGTTTTAAAAATATATTTGTTTACTTTGTTCCTGATTATCAAAGTATTGTATAAAATGCAGAGTGTTCAGAAGACTGCTTTTAAAGGGGGGAAAAATTCACCCATAAATCCCACATTGCAGGAACAACTGCTCTTAATATTTTGGAATTTCTCTCCCCCTCCCCCTTTTTAAAACTACATAGTTTTAAACATGATTGAGAACATGTACTGTACGTACAATTTGTATACAGCTTTTTATTTTCTGTTTGGCATTAAAATCATTAGCATTTTCTTGTGTCTTAAAAATTTTTATAAACAGACATTTCTAATGGCTGCAAAACAATCTGTGGTCATACCATAATTCACTTCCGTAAGCCCTGTTGTTGGACATTTAGTTTGTTTAAACGTTTTTGTTATTTTAAGTAAGGTTGCAGTGCATATTTTTATACACACATCTTTGTTGCTATGATTCCCATAGGATACAATCCCAAGTGTGGGATTACAGCGCAAAGGGAATGTATGTTTTAAGGTTCTTGGTACACAGTGCCTAAGTCACTCATGGGTTTTTAGAATATGTGTATTTAATTTTTTATTTCTTTTTGCCTTTTCTGATCCCTAATATTTGAACCTAGAATTTTTAATGTGAGCTTAAAATGTTGCTTATGTTAGGAATGTTGCTTTTACTTCCACACTCCATTGGAAAGATTACGTTATTCTTTGTGTAAATCCATACAGTTTTTCTAGAGGATTGTATGGCAGTCTATACCAAAATCCATACATTTCTGATTCACTGACTTGGGAATTTATCTAAAATTGTCAAAAATCTTATCTTTTTTGTTGTTGTTGTTTAAAGTATTACATATAGTAATACATATATCTCTTTTTTTCCCCATTGACCTTCCCCCAGCCTCCCCTACCCCCTGTCACATGCCCAAAAATCTTATCTATTAAAGTGTGTGTTGATTATGTAAACTGGAAACTGTCTAAATTTCTAACAATGGGAAAATAAGTTGTTTTACATCCTTAATTGGAATTTACATATAGCAACAATTATAAAAATATTTTACAGATGTGTTTTTGGAATTTATTTTTTGAAGGTAGATTACATAACAGTATTATAATATTTTGTTTTTATAATGAAGAGTTTCATGTACATAAAAAGATTGGCAGTTTATCCACTTAAATGCTAATGGTGGTTATTTCAGGTGATGAGATTATAAACAATTTTAATTTTATACTTTGAGATTTTCTTAATTTAAAAAAAAAAAATTTCCAAATGTCTTCTGAGGTCATATTTCTCAAAATTGTATCATAAAAATGTTTTGTCTTCGGTCTTTAAGAAGGAAATGATTCTATGGTGGGTTCTTTCCCTGCAGTCATGTCCCCTCCACCCCGCGCCCCCCTGCCCCCAATGCTGCCCCTCCATCCCTGCCCCCAACTCAGGCCAGCTCTGCTGAAGAAGGCCCAGGGTCTCCCAGCCGGGCTCTGACATCTGTCAGCCTGCTGTTTCACCTTCGCTGCAGTTTGCTGTAAATGGGCCTGCTGAACATTAAAGCACTTGGCAGAAACCACCAGTAAATCTGGCCAAGATCCTTTCACTGCTGCCTTTTTCTGAGAAACGGAACTGCTCTGAAGTGACGCTGGGTGCTAGTGGAACTGAAGGAAGGAAAGGCTCCTAGCAGACGGACAGCAGGCGGGACTGAGTGAGGCGGTGGGAGCAGCTCCCAGTGGCACCCAGGCCTCAGGAAGCCTGCCCCAGGTGTACTGTGTGCTCCTGCCTCCCTCTTCCTCTCTACCTTGCATTTTCCTGAACTTGTAGGGAGCAGATGTGATGGTGATGGTGATGCTGCTGATGCTGATGGTGGTATAATCTTCGTGTGGCAGCACACGGAATGGAAAGGGCTCTGGCTGTGCAGTCACAACGGCTCTTGGGCTTGTCAGCTCCAGGCCAGCACATGGCTTCACCTTTCTGAGCCTCTGGTTCCTCACTGTAAGTGGGAGCAGTAAGCCTCTCACAGGTTGGTTAAGAGGACCAAATCCCACAGCTGCTTAAAAGTGGCGAGTACCGTTGCTTGTCCTAATTCTCTGCCTATTTGCTCTCCCATGTCTCTCTCCTCACCCGGGACTGGGATTGACTATTTTATGAGACTAGCGGTTCTGCCTGGAAGGAGGCAGGACTAGGCCAGGGGCAGTGATCTTGGCTCAGTCTCATTACCGACTTGATGTAATTCAGCTCAGGTTAGTTAACACTTTATGCCTTGGTTTAGTCTTCTGTAAGTAGGAATAATACCTGTGCCACCTGCCTTAGAGAGGCTATGTGAGGTTGTTGGATTTGAATGAAGTAACAGAGAACAAAACACTTTTGTATACTTTAAACTACTATGCAATCGTCAGGTGAAATAATTAACGTTCATAATACATTCAAGGGAGATGAGTATGGTATTTCATACGTTTTGAAGATTATGTGAAATAACATGTCAACTTTTTAGTCCATAGTCAGGCATGTAGTGAGTGGGAAGTGTTGGTATCCTTGATGTTGTTGTTAATCCTCATTATTTTAGGAAGTCTGATGGAGATGGGGGAGATGAACTTGCAGGCAGACTGTCCCTAAGGGCGCTCTGTGCCTATAATGTAGTAGAAAGTTAGTAAATATTTTCATTAATTAATTAATTTGAAAAGATGTCAGGAAGTGACAGTACAAATCAGAGTAACACAAGCAGCATTTGCATAGCAAATAACCAATTTAAAACATGCTTGCATATTCATGACCTTGTTTAACCCTCCCAACTACGCTCTAGGGAAGGGACCAGCACCCCATTTAATAGATGAGGAAACTGGAACTCAAACGGGGGAAAGGACGTGTGCATGGCCACCGTGCTGAGAATTTAACCCAGAACCCACATTATCAAATCGTCCCCCTACGTATTCTTTCCCCCCAGTCTCCATCTCTGTCCCCAAACGCCATTTTCCAGAGAAGGCTTGCAGCGCTCGCTGTTCCTGGCTGCCCGGGGCTGCCAGCCTGCACGTGCTGGAGTGCTGCTGGGCACCATGCCATGCCCCATGCAAGGCAAGCTGCTCAGGTGGGGGCAGAAGAAGCATTTCCAGGGTTTGCAGCACCCGAGTGAGGGGGGACCAAGCAGCCATTCTGAGCTCTCCCAGCAGCCCTAGGAGCTTTGCTTTTCAGCTAAAAAATGCGCAGTTGTTGCTATGGTGAAAGCCTGGCTGGCTGTGCCTGGGGCCCATTGCTCCAAATCATTTTTAGTTTCTACCCTTTCCAGTGCATTTATTTTGCAGTTCCTGGCCAAGGCCTGTGGTCTGCAAATAAAGAACTATGCTTCTGAACACAGATCCTGAGCACTGTGTACCCCTCAAAGCTTCCTGCTGAGGCTTCCTGCCTTAGGTCCCTTTAAGACACGGGAGGAAGACTGCAGCACCTACCAAATTGTACTGTGTTTTTCATTCTGAGGGAGTATGGGTTTATTGCAGAAAATACAGAAAAGCACAGAGAACTTTAATAATTATTCATTTAGTAACTACTTCCTGAGCACTTGCCAGTGCTGGGGATGTGACAGATGCCACATGAATAATATATCAGCTATCTTCCCATCACTGGAAGATAATCACTATTAATATTTTGACAGCTTTCCTCCCAATTTTTAAAAAAAATATGCATAATTTTGAACATTTGAGATTGTTTCTGCTTTGTATACATATACACAATTTCATATCCTGGTTTTTCTTTAATTCAGGGGTAACATAAGTGTGTTTCTATGATATTGTAAGTAATATCTTTAAGCATTCTTTTTTCATGTTTACAAAAGCAATCCATGCTTGTTGTAAAATAGTTAAAATTCATACGTTTCAGAAATATATACTGGAATCTTATTCGTATTTATACCCTCTTATAAGAAATGGATCCTCTTAACCTGTTTTTGTTGTTGTTCATCCTTACCCGAGGATATTTTTTTCCCATTGATTTTTTTTAGAGAGTGGAAGGAAGGTAGGAGATGGAGGGGAGAGAGAGAAGCATCGATGTGAGAGAGATACATTGATTCATTGCCTCCTGCACATTCCCTGAACAGGGCCAGGTAAGGAACCTGCAACCCAGGTACATGCTTTTATGGTCCCTGGGTCTACGCTCTTAACCTCTGAGCAAACCAGCCAGGGCTTACCCCTTTTGAATTTTTATATGTATCCAACTAACCCATTCTTTCACTTTGGATTTTCTGATTTTTCATTATTAAAAACAAAGCTTAGATAAATATCTTTGTTTAAAGAACTTTTTTTAGATCCTACTCATGTGGTAATTTTCCCATTGAGAGAATTTGGGGTTAAAAATGGTATGAACATTTGCATCAATTTGAATCCCTATTGATGATATGTGACCTTATCCATTCCACCATAGCTTCTTGGCATTGAATATTGTAATTAAAAACCACAACATCAAATTTTGTTAACTCTGATGACTGAATTATGTCTTGTTTGAATTTCCATTTCTTCAGTGTCTATTGAATTTTCCATGTTTGTTAACCAGATGTACTTCATTTTTTTTCAAGAAATTTTTCTGCTTAACTATTGGGATCTTAATATTCTTCTTATCAACTAGTGTGAGGGCTTTATATAGTAGAATGTCTGAGTGCAGGAAACTCTAGAAGTTCCTTAAGGGACAGATATGACTGGCTTCTCTGTTCCCTATGAAATTAGTTAAGAATTTGGAATCAGACTACCCAGGATTCACTTTTGTCATTGCTACTTTCTAGTTGTGTATCCTGAGCAGGTTATCTAACTGCTTCAGTTCCCTCACCTGTGAAGTGGGGGTAATAATGGCGTACCTGTTAGGAATCAGTAAGGGTGTGTACATCAGGTTTTAGTAGAGTGCCTGGCTGAGACTCAATGGACGTGAGCTTATGTCACCATTATTATTTCCCAGATAACCTTATCAGAGTTCTGGAATGTTTCTCCCCGCCCTCTTCCAGCCCCTGTGACCAGGCTGTCCCATTTCGTGTTTTTGCAGATCAGCCAGATGGCCGACGACACCGTTGCAGAGCTGGACAAGCATCTGGCAGTGAAGACCAAAGAACTCCTCGGATGAACGTCCACAGGGCCAGTTTTTAGTGACCCACCTGGTGACAGATTGGCATCTCTGTACCCATCCACACGGAAGGCTGACACCCTGTGCTCATCAGGCCTTGTGAGGCCCACCTTTCAGAGGAACACCCAGACTTGTCCAATCTCTCCCTCCAGCCCCGTCGCCCCATTCTGCTCTGGGCCTTCTGGCAGGGGTGGCCCTTTGGAGAATGTCTGCTGCTGCCTAGAGACCAGGGCCACCGGCAGGCTGACCGCTGACTAGTCCTCATCTCAGAGCCTCCTTCCCAAATAATTAGCCCAGCCCTGTCCCCAAATTTTGACTTTGCTTGGTCTGATGTGGGCCTTCACTTGTGACTGGATACTTTTGCTAGAGGCCTATTTTCACCAAGTAATAAAATCAAATTAAATTGAGAGAATAATAACCTTAAAGGAAATGATAGAGTCTGTGTGGAAGAATGATTTCTACGGAGCTGGTGTGTGTAAAGCAGCCAGACAATACTTCTCCCTCACACATGCTCTTTACTCTCCCCGACCTTTCCCCCACTCCTCACCGGCCGCTCCTATGCCTGCTTCCTTCTCAGCGGGGCTGGCACTTCCTTGGAAGCCTTCTTTCCCCCAGCTGAAGGCCCCTAATATTGGCTCGCACAGCACTATTGTTCTCACCTGAACCTTAGCTATATTCTCTTTGATAATCAGTCTGTGTATCTTCAGGATTTGACATAATGCCTGGAACCAATAGGCACTCAAATGTGTTGTGAATTAATTGCATGTAATACTTGCACAACAAATGCTGGCTTCTTTTCCTTCCTTCCTACTCTTAACACTTGCATTCCATCACTGTGTTCTGTCCTCAATATTTATTTAGTATGAGGTACCTTTCCCCCAGGGTCTGCCTGTTAGTGACAGACTAGCGATTTTTTGTGGCTCATCTTTGGGTACTGGATTAAGTTAGTTTTCCCCTCCCCAATAATTTTTCTTTTAATCATTCACTTGTTTGTTCATTCATTCATTCATTAATATATCCATGATGAGCTAAATACAGTTCTAGGCAATATTTTAAATATATATTTTTATTGATTTCATAGAGGAAGGGAGAGGGAGAGAGAGAGATAAACATCAATGATTAGAGAGAACCATTGATTGGTTGCCTCCTACACGCCCCTCATTGGGGATCAAGCCCGAAACCCAGGCATGTGCTCCAACTGGGAATCGAACCGTGATCTCCTGGTTTATAGGTCGATGCTCAGCCACTGAAACATGCCCATCAGTTGTGTGTCAGGTACAGCGCCATGTGCTGGGAATACAATAATGGGCTCCATGCGGCACCCATCTTTGAGTGACCTGCTATTTTAATGTCATGGGTGGGAGGTAGGAAGTTCATCCCAGTTCTGTCAAATGTCTGTCTTTAGAAGGGCACCCACTTTGGCAGCAGCCACACTCTGAGCAGCGCCAGCTTCTCCACTGTCTGACTCCTTGGGGTCCCTTTGCCCTCTGCTTGCTCTAGTGGAGCACAAGGTCAGCATCAGGTCAAAGGTGAAAGAAGGTGACTCATGTCCTGCCCTGCTTACCTGACTTCTGTCACACCCTGTTCTCCAGCCCCAAGTAGCCATCCCACAACTAGAAGTCCACTCAAGGAAGAACAGGGTCGGAAAGAGCTATCGGGGAGCCTTTTTTGGGGTAAGCCGCATAGCAAGGGCTTTGCAACAGTCTTTCGTGAGTGGCCGAAATCCCCCACTCACTGCAAATGTGCTTCTCAAAGATGCAGGATTTTTTAATAAACAGAGGAAATGATAAATTATGTTGTAATTCCACTCCAAAGGCATTTGGTTCTTAACAGCCAAATCCTCTGTAGTCTTTAAATAAACAAAAACTTATTTGGTGAACAGGCGGGGGGGAAATTGAAAGATTTTCTGTACTTGGGTTCCACATGTCAACAATTTCTCTCCTGTGTGTATGTTGGCCAAAGCCGAATATCATGATAAATGAAGAAAGGAAAACCTCAGGCCCGGGCCCGTTAGACAGCTCAACAAATGGCTTTCAGCTGATTGCTCTATTTCAGTTGACATTTATCAAAGACTTTCTCTGTTACTCGGCGTGTCGGCTTCGGTGGTGGTAGGGACGAGAAGACGACTACCTGTTTGGATGTGCTGAGTAATGAGTAATGCCGGAACGATTCATTCTTCCTCTCTTCCTTCTTCAGTTTCTCTTTTAAAAACGAAAAACTGGGTATAGATATTCTCACACTTGTCAGAGGAATTAACCATCTCCCCTATTCAGTTCAACAGCTTTCAAAGTCTCATGAAAAATATAGGCCAAAGGGAATTCAAGAACTTTTTCTGGTTATTTTCTTTCTTCCTTGCGCGTGGGGTGTGTGTGTTAGTGTGTGTGTGTGTGTGTGTGTGTGTGTGTGTGTGTGTATGTGTAATGACAAGAAACTAGAATGTTAAAAATTAGAAGAAACTCCTCAGGAGTCCTTATGCCCCTTTAAAAATTAGAAGTGTATCCTTCTAGGCTTTTCTCCATACATACATACATACATACATAATTTTTTAAAAGTGAGGAGGAGAGTTATTCTCCTATTCTGAAGCTTGCTTTGTTTACCCAACAGCCCGGCCATCCATCCACGTGTGAACATGTGGACACAATTCATACTTTTTCATTGCAGTGTAGTATTCCACAATGTGAATGCACCATAATTTATTTCCCCATTACCTCTAACATTTAAAAAAAAAAATTATGTCAAATATATAGAGAATATTTCTATATAAAGTGTTTTTAAAATAAAAAGAAGCCCCATTCTAAATGTATCTGGTAATCTTTTCCTCAACCTCAGAGTAACATTTATTGAATGCCTACTGTGGACCAGGTACCATGGCTGGACACTTGTGTTACTACATTCAAACTTCTGAACAGTCCTAGGTGGTGTAGGTGTTACTCCTATCTGTGTTTACTTGTGAGAAAACGAAGGTTCAGAAAGGGTATTTAACTTGCTCAATGTCACACAGGTGGTAAGTGCCGAATGAAGTTTGAAATTCCTATCTGACTTTAGTCAGGGTGCTTCAGCTCCTAGGTCTTCATTGAGTACTTATTCAAAAAGCACCTAGCATTGTTCTGGGCGCAAGGGTGATAGAGAAGCAGAAAGCTTGCTTTCCTAAAAACAACTGGAAAGCTACTTCCAATAAAGGACTTCATGCAAAGTAGCAGAGTAAACACCAAAGAAATGGTAGCTCTTACTGGAACAGTAAAGATTACATATTGATGCCTCACCTGGTGTCAGACTCCTCTACCATGGATCAGAGAACCAGAGAGTGAGCAAAAAGACCACCCGGCAGTGAATAGTGGTAATCACAATAACAGTGTTGATAGCATCGGTAACAGATGCTGACTTGGTGCTTTTTAGTTTTCAAAGTGCTTCTACATCCTTTATCCACTGAAACCATTAAGTGAAACTTTGCCCTAATGATGGTCATTGTCATGGTGTGCATAAAAAGGGATTTTCTCTATTTGGGGGACAAATTTTGTGGTGTACACAGGAGCTGGCCTGGCCAGAGGGCAGGGCATACGTATAATATCTTCTCTCCCTTCAAGGCTCAAGCCTCAGCCCAAATGGCCCCCCTTTGCTGATACTGACAGGGAGGAGTAGGAGGGGGGAGGTACCATGTCCTGGGCCTTTGCTATGTACCAATGAGGAAACTGAAGCCCAGAGGGTTAAGTTACTTGTGCAAAGGCCATCATACATATGGTATGGAGTGCAGGGAGTCTGACCCCCAGCTGGGCCATCTCAGTGAGTTATGTTAACTGAGGCCAGAGCAGCGCAGGGTGGACAGCGAGAGCCTATGGGTCCTGTCTCAGTGTTGCCCTCTATCCTCAGTAAAGGCCACTCCATCCCCCATGGGTACCAGGGAGGGGCCTGGACAAGATCAGAGAACCCAGGCTGGTACTGACAGCAATTTCACCCGTTTGGGGCAAAATAAATAAAATAAAGGCAATGTGACAAAAGTTTTCATACAATAGTTAATTTAACTTAAAGGACTATTCTATCTTCTTACAGTTTGCTCTTTCTACTTGTGTGTTTGGTGTTAAAATATTCTTATGATAAGAAGTTGGTGATTCTAAAAAAAAAAAAAAATTCTAAGTTAGAAAAAGAAGTTAGTCCCCTCTTTTTTTTTTTTTTTTTTTTTTTTTTTTTTTTAACTTTACTGATGCATGAATCCCAGTCTGGCAGCTCTGGTGACCTCACACCTACTCCTAGAGCTGACGTCCCTGAGGCTGCCATCCAAGGAAAGCTGGAGCAGAGAGGCAATTTGAGCTGTGTGGGTGTCAGGGACCCGGTGGGTGAGCAGGCAGTGGCTGAGAGTTTGGAAACAGGACAATAGACAATCAGGAGGGCTCTGCGGCCCACAGGGAGGAGTGGCAGGTGAGGAGAGGTTAAGTCAGAGAGCCAAGAGAGGGAGGCAGGGACAGAGACAGACACACAAACAGGGCTAGAGGGAGGGAGACAGAAACACACCCACATGCACTCTTCCAGGCACACGGAGAAGCCTGGAGATCAGCAGGTAGAGACAGAAAGAGATGGTGACCAACAGTCAGAGACAGGAACAGATGGTGACAGTGAAACAGTTAACAGATATTCGGAAAGAGACACCTAGAAACAGAGACAGAGACACAGAGGGAGATTGAGAAATACACACAAAGGAAGGGACCAGACGGGTGTGGGGGTGGGGAAGAAGGAAAAGGAAGAAAAAGGGAAAGACGCACTTAGATGGGGAGAAGTGAGGGCAGACCGGCCGTGAGGAGAGAGAGGGAGAGGGAGGCCGTGGCCGTGCCGGCCCGGGGTCGTGCAGGGTGTGGGTGGAGGAAGAGCCAGCGCTGGCTGCCAGGGCTGCGGGGACCAGATAAGGACGCCTGCCAAAGGAAAGCAGGGGAAGGAAAGACGTTTACTGATCCCCGGGGGAGAAAGCCAGGGAGGCTGCCCCAGGCCCCGGAGAACAATGGGTACTTGAC